GAAAGGAAGGTTAGATAACTGTTTGATAAATAAAAGTAGCCTACTTTACTTTACTATTAGTGTTTGTATTTTGTGTAAAATATTACATTTGGCCCGCGGTCCTCCGATAGATTTTCATTTTGGCCCACTAAGGGAAAATGTTTGGGCACCCCTGCTCTAGATGCTGGAAAACATGTGGGCACAACTCATAACTTGACCCACATAAACTTCAGGTGAGTCTGAATCTGATCATGTGACATTCCAACGCAACACACATGTACCATACATGCACCCACATATGAAACACACAAAGACATGTCAAAGAGATCCATTATTTTTTATGGGAAAAATTCAATTAGAACTCGAACTTTTTAGGATTCGATCCGGAGTACGGAACGGATTAAGTTCATGAACCGAGGTACCACTGTGTGTGTGTGTGTGTGTGTTATATATATATATATATATATATATAGTATGTTCCTCTACTGTGTGCTGGTTATTATGTATTTTCCTGCACTATGTGTGAGTTTGTGCCTGTATTCCTGCATCGTGCTTCTGCACTATGTAGGGCTGGGCAATTAATCCAAAGATTAATCAAAACCGACATTCAGAACCTCTAATTGATGTAATCTTGCTCATGTCGGTTACTTCATTTTTTTTATTTTGTTAATACTTAAAGAATGTTAATACTTTCACCAGTGTGTGTACTTTCCCCTTAAAAACATACTGCTGCATGTGTCAAGTGACTCTGCGCCGTTCAGTCTGCGACATGGAAGCAACATGGAGGCGAACTCAAGCACCGAGCCGACTGAGCATCACGAGCAGCTTCTACCAGAGAAAAATGTTCATTTGGACACATTGTGGCTTTAGTAAAGACAATATGGAACAAAAAGAGGTCCAATGTAAACACTGCAAAGAAACAGCATTTCAGCTATATATAGTGATCACGGTTATAGTGATCAACCGCTTATATGGATCAAAAAGCTTGGGACAGAATCATTCCTGTCCAAATACTGTTTCAATAATTCACTTATAGTTTTTACATATATCAACATATGGAAAAAAATTACAATTACGTTAATTCTTTTTTTTTTTACTTGCTTACTTTGCCTTGTGGTAACCCATCTAACACATCCTGTGTGTGTGTGTTCCTGCACTGTGTGTGCATATATGCTCCTGCACTGTATGTGTGTGTGATGTTCCTTTTCTTGTGAGCCCAAATCATGTCAAACTTGTTCAGTGCATCTGAGCTGCAGAGTTGAACGCTCTCCTTCACCTCATTAAAAAACTCATTAGAAAGCAGATTTCTGCTGGGACAGACCAGCTTCTCACTCGGGACCTGAAATCATTAAGCCCCACTTGGTCTCTTATGCACTTTAATTGCTGTGCATATTGGTGCGCTGCTCTCTAGCACCTGCAGAAGCAGCAGCATTCCTGAGTGTGTTTCTGAGTGTGGAGAAACAGGTATGTAGTATCAGTCAGTGAGCCTTATGCGGCTAAAACACATGCATTTTAGCACATGCATTGGCCGACACACTAAAAGTGCCAACCTGATAACATCACTCGCCTCCAGCTGCCACTCCCTTAGCCTTTACCCCTGGAGTAGCTTTCATTAACCTGTGCCCATGCCACTTTGTTCAACCTGCTCACTGCTGCAGTCTCCTAATGGAGGGTTTAATTTAAATCCCAGAAATTCCCTGAGGGCACATCAGTCCATTTGCTGACAACAGAAGTGTGTGAATATAAAAAGAGAGGAATACTGTGCAGAGACTGAAATGTGGTTCTTATTCTATCCAGAAAGGAGACAAACAAATTAAAACATTTTCTAACCCTGAAGGAGTTGAGAGAGGCCTGTGAGTCAGAAAGAGCCCACATAGACCACTGATGTTACATGGCATAGAACAGTAGATAAACACCACTCACTCTCATTCTGTAACGTTCTGTACGACAGCACTCTTGTTCTCTAATGCTCTGTATGACAGCACTCTCGTTCTGTAACGCTCTGTATGACAGCACCCTTGATCTGTAACGTTCTGTACGTCAGCATTCTTGTTCTCTAATGCTCTGTATGACAGCACTCTCGTTCTGTAACACTCTGTATGACAGCACCCTTGTTCTGTAACGTTCTGTACGACAGCACTCTTGTTCTCTAATACTCTGTATGAAAGCACTCTCGTTCTGTAACGCTCTGTATGACAGCACCCTTGTTCTCTAATGCTCTGTATGACAGCACTCTCGTTCTGTAACGTTCTGTATGACAGCATTCTTGTTCTCTAATGTTCTGTATGACAGCATTCTTGTTCTCTAATGCTCTGTATGACAGCGCCCTTGTTCTGTAGCATTCAGTATGACAGCACTCTCTTTCTGTAATGTATGACTGTGCCCTTTTTTAGTAAATCTCTGTATGAAAGCACTCTTCTTCTGTGATGCTGTTTGACAGCACCCTCTTTCAGTAAGACTGTGTAGTTCTCAATTAAAGTCCTTTATTTGTTATAATGAATGGTTTCACATTTAAACATTACTCACATATGATAACTATCTAATTCTGTAATACTCTGTATAGCAGCACTCTAGTTCTGTAATCATTCTGTAGCCAGGAACAACCTTGACCAAATTATTCTGTTTTCTGTCATTAGACAGCAAACATTCATGTGCCTTATAAGTGATAATTAGACAGCAAACATAGTGATAACCACACATCTTATCACCAGAATGTAAAAATACTATAAAGGCACATGTTTCACAGATATACTGTATGCCGGACAAGATGGGGGAACAAATGCGACTTAATAGTTTCAACTGACACCAACTTCCTGACTTAGTTTCAGTAACTTTCAAATCAAGGGCAAAGGTCTACTGCGGGATGCAATTCCTTTGTGATCATTGAAGAAGACAAATCAGGCAACACTGACCACATATTTCAACCGACTGACTTGTGTTAACATGGAGGATTAATAGCAAACCAAGCATGTTTCTCTTTGTGTATTAGTTTTAAATGAGCATGTAAATGGTCTATAATTGTGTGCCATACATTTTTTCAGGTAGTAGCTCCACCACAGTATGAACGCCTGCAATCCAGTGACAATACAGAGGTTAAACAAGAGGAGCAGAGCAGAGATTTTGGAAACTTTACACACACACACACACATATACACACATATATATATATATATATATATAGTAATTTAATTACGCTCGTGATGACGCACAGCTTCCCCCAGGAGCCAAAGGACTGATTATATATCCTGGACAACATCAATACAGCAGCGAACCTTGATGCCAAGACGAGTCTGTATTTGGACCGCAGGAAGGGCCACACCTGTGCCAAAACTGCCTATATGGTTAAATATCTGGACTCTGTGAGTGCAAATGATTATGATTCATAAATCTGTCAAATTATATGTGAACAGTCTATTTACAAAGCGATATGTAAAAGTGTTTGTCCTGAATTAACTGAATAAAGGGAGCTTCCTCTCCAGCGAACAGGGAACAGCATCACATCTGACTGGCAACCATTATTAGGTCATTAACTTTAACAAGCCTGCTAAGCATGATTAAACTACAGTGCATTTGCCAACGACTTAACAGCAAGCTCGGGAATTGTACTCTTTCTGTAAGCTGGAGATTACTGGAGAGCACAGCAGAGCCGCGCTCTTTGCTTATTCAAAGGCACTGACTTCACAGACTGAGATAATCGGACTTTACACACTCAGAAGCATGGATTTCTGCATTGAGAGGCACAGACTTTACGCATTTAGAGGCACAGACCACATACATTGAGAGGCACGGGCTTTACGCACTCGGAGGCACAGACTTACACACTTATAAGTAAGGACTTTACGCAAATGGAAGCTAGGTTTGCACGCTTCACCGGTCTCTCAAAAGAGGTAAAAATGGCAAGGAGCCGGCATGCCCATCATTCTGTTGCCTTACCTCTTTCTGCCCTCTGGTCCACTTCGGCTCGTTGCTCACATGCAAAGCGGACAGTAGTGGCTCTCCTGCGGATCCACAGCTGTTCTCAATATTAAGTCCCACTGTTGCATCTGACTTTACACGCGACGCGGTGTGATATGCCTACTCTCCTCCTGGGCGGCTCAGATGCTCCGTCGGCCCGCCTCCTGCTCCGGTCGGAGGAGGGGCGAGCACCGTCTATCCACTGCGATTGCAGCTTGTATATATGATAATAATGCTCAGTTGCGGCCCAATCCTGACAAGGGCAGGACTTGAATTAAAAATGGTCCCTAGACTTTGGGGTCCTGATGGCCCCACGTCAGCCTAAACTTCTTGCTGAGCAGAGGTGGGAAGGTTAAATTAGGCTGTCCAACCTGACTGTCGGCAAACGGAGAGCTGCCAATCATTCGGAGAGCTGCCAATCATTCGCCCCCATCCCCTTATGGACGGGCCCTTCCTGGTAGTAGTTTGTGTCCTGCTGTAGTATAATGGTATATAATGTACAAAAATGCAAAAATACCAGGTTAAAGACTATCAGTATTTTAATGTTGGAATCGATTCTCAAAATGGAAACATTCAGGTCGAAGGAATCTATATTTCAGCATTGATCCACACATCCCTAATACATGCATTTCAGACTTGAAATAACTTTGCGTGTTGTTTTTCTTCCTCAGAAAAAGGCAGAAAGTCCTTGTACTTCTTGTGTGTACCTGATCTGCAAAATGAGGTTGATGTCTGCGTTTATATTACACAAATCCTCTTACATCAGTAATGCTAATATATGAAGTTTGAAAGCTGAATTTGATTTTCAGTATTATGCTTATTGGTACAGCTGTGCCTGTTGCTGAAACAGTCTGACGTCATTTCCAGGTGAGAGCACTGCTGGCGTCTGTCTTGACTGCCGCTTCTCCCCACGTCTAATGCGTCTTTGCGTGGTTTGTTTATCTACTGTACCTAGAAAATCGTGATCGTCAGTTTTCTTTCTGTCTGAATACTCTCCGCGGATCCACTGTTCTTGCTGCTATGATCAACTCAAAGAAGCCTCCGGCTTGTCCAGCATTATCGTACATCGTCCTTGATGTCTCCTCTCTGGACTCCACTGGACTTTTAAATACGCACGGCTGCCTACTACTGGATTCTGCCCTCCATCTCCGGATTTTGCCCCTGGACTATTTCTTCCTATGTTCATGTGCCTATATGCCCTGACCTCCTGCCGTGAACAGCTACGTGGCGCACTGTTTGTGGACTGCACCCCCTCCCGACCCTCGTCCTGAGGAGAAATCTCCAGTTGGAGAACTGGAGCTCGATGGCCAACTTCACAGATGGGTGAGTGAGGCTTTCTTTCTCGCCGCTGGAAGAGTCTGCAGTGTTGTGCACCGCACGCTGTTGGCTTCTCAGGTGGTTGGCTCCGACATCGGGGGCAGACCAGCACTAAATGTACTGAGTGTATTGGCCTTAGGTTCTCCTACTATTCAGTACCACTTGAAATGTTGCTACAGCCTGGACTCCTCCTGTCGGAAATATTCGCAGCCTGCATCGGTTACTTAATCTCCCTACCAACTGCACTTCTCCGAGTTGCTCCACGATTTTACAAGTACTCCGCCGCAGACCTCAAACGTCTTAATAGCAACCACCGACACCCTAGAGAAGCTGCCTCCGCTGCTTGCCGAGCAGGCATTTTACGTCGGCCTCGTTATATTCATCGTGGCACGAGGCGCAATAGAACTTTTCTCCGATATGACAACACCAACATCTGCACGTTCTGGACAACTCGGCATCGACCAACCACCCGTACCCAGCGTGCTGTTAATTTTAACCATCTCGAGATCCGTACTCTACCCCAGACTTCATTCAAACCACAACTTGTAAACTGTGCACTTTTGACTGTGCGCTCTGTTTCCACTAAGTCATCTCTACTCCATGAACTGATGATAGATAAAAATGTTGACTTCTTCTTTCTCGCTGAGACCTGGCAGCCACCAGGCGATTTCTATGCACTCAATAAATCCACTACATAAAATTCATAAAACTTAGTCATATACGTTTACTGACCACTTTATTCGGTACACCTTGCTAGTACAGAGTTTGACCCACTTTTACCTTCAGAGCTGCCTTAATTCTTCATGACATAGATTCAGCGAGGTGCTTGAAACATTCGTCAGAGACTCAGGACCAGGTGTATCTGACAGCATCATGTAGGTGCTGCAGATTTGTCGGCTTCACCTTCATGATGTGAATCACCTGTTCCTGCACATTCCACAGTTGTTCTGTCGGATTGAGATCTGGTGACTGAGGAGGCCATTTGAGTACAGTGAACTCACTGTCATGTTCAAGGAATCAGTGAGAGATTATATGAGCTTTGTGACATGGGGCGTTACCCTGCTGGCAGTAGCCATTAGAAGCCGGGTACACTGCGGTCATAAAAGGATGGACATGGTCAGCAGCACTGTTCAGTCAAACAACGTAGACTGTTACGATCTAGTGGGTGTGATATCGCTTGTGACGTCACGCATGCGACGTAGCAGGAAGTAGGTGAGACGATTTAGTTTGGAGACGCGCATAAGAAGCCGGCTTGTATGTTTGATTGTTTCGCCGTTCTGGGAGATTGTGCAAAAGAACGACATCAGAGACTGGAGAGGCAGCCGGTAAGAAGGGGAATTTATTTTTATATTGTGAGGTTTACTGTTGCTGCCGGTGAAATCTAAAGTTGTGGCTCATAACTGCTATAACTATGGTGGTTGTACGTTGTAGCGGTTCTCTTAAGGCAGGGGTATTCAACTAAAATTTGAAGAGGTCCAGTTAGAGAAAATCTCCTTAAGCAGAGGTCCGGGACATCATAATGTCTAACTTGCGTTATGATTGTGATACAAAGCAGCCTATTTTTATCAATATCTGAATGTATGAACAATAGACTGTCAAATCAATGAAAATACAAATTAAAAATATTTCAACAAAATTTATTGTTAACACTGAAACACACAGTAGGCCTACATTAGATATAGGGCTGCAGTTTAAAATGAATTAGAGAAAATAAATAAAATGGCTAAATTGTGCATCTTAAAACAAAGTGCTTAATTTCAGAAAAAAATAGCAGCAGCTTGAGTTTCCCTTTTTTTTACCTTTCACATCTCGACTTAAGTCTCAATAAATTTCTAAAACAGATATCTCAAAACATCTTAACAATTTTACAGTTTCTCTTTCTTTCCCCCTTATATTCCACTTCCCCACTTTCTGTTGTTCAGTGAGAGAATTGAGCTTTAGTTTGCCCTACCAGGATTTTAAATCTGGGCTGGAATGGTGTCAGGGCCATTCTCATACTCATGTGTAGGTGCTCATTGGTGAGCCTGGAACGATATTTACTTTTTATTATGTTCATTGTGGAGAAAGCTGCCTCACAGCTGTATGTGGAGCCAAACATGGTCAAGATGTACAGGGCTACTTTCCTCAGATTAGGGAAAGCTGCCTCAGAGACCATTTGGAGCCAGAAAGTGACAGGTTCAGTTCTTCCAAACTGCTCTTTCAGGGCCACATTTGCTTGGAGATCAACCAGTTGCATCTGGAGAGGCCCAGCATTTGCCCACTTGAAGTGCTGTGTGACTTCCTTTGAGAACCCTCTGACATCAGTGATGAGAAATGGGTTCTTTATGAACATGGTGAGCTGCTGTCCAAAACTGAAGCTATCAAAACGTTTGCTGAAGTTTTCAATCAGCTTATCAACAAAATCAACAAAAGAGGACACATCTCTCTGTCCCTGAACCTGTTCCTTCACTGTTGGGAAGTGTGCATAGTCTCCTTGCAGGTCTTCTTTGAACACCTCAAGTTTCCTCTGAAAGGAGCGGACAGCTGTCATCAGTTCACAAATTGAATTGTCCTTGCCCTGCAGCTTCAAATTCAGTTCATTCAGGTGTGAAGTGATATCAACCAAAAAGGCCACAATATCCATGTTTTTCTCATCATTTAAAAAGAGAGAAAAGTTTGTTGCTTTCTGACTTTCCAGCTCTTCCAAGAAAGCTGCTACTTCACTTCTGATGGACCAAAATCGCTCCAATACCCTGCCTTTGCTGAGCCATCTCACATTGTTGTGAAGCAGAAGATCATCAGTGTTTGCATCAACTTCTCTGAGGAATTCCCTGAGCATGCGATGCTGACAAGAAGAAGATGCCCTGAGAAAATTTATCATTTTCATCATTGTTTTCATCACCTCAGCATACTCATCTGACAGGGTGGAGCATAGGACAGACTGATGAATAATGCAATGGTAAGAGATTAGCTCAGGATTGTCCTCTTTCTTTCTTGCTACATCTCCTTTCTCTCTCCCCATCATGGCAGGGGCTCCATCTGTGGTTATTGAAACCACTTGGTTTGGCTCTATTCCTCGCTTTGTTAACATTTTCTTAATGGCCAGGTAGATATCCTCTCCTCTTGTAGTGCTCTGAAGGGAAGTTACACCTAACAGGTCTTCACAGAACTCTTTGTTATCGTTGTTGAAGAACCTTACATAAACTAACAGCTGAGCATTGTCAGACACATCAGTGGACTCATCTACAGCCAAGCCTACACATGGTGTCTTATGAATGGCTTCTTCCAGCTGGGATAGCACATCTTGAGCTAATATTTCACTTCTCTTTGTGGCTGTTGATGCTGACATAGGTATTTGCTTTATTTTGTCACAAAGGTCTTCTTTTTGTTTACCCTCAAGTAATGTTTCTGCTACTGCACTCATGCACTCTTTGACAACACCTGCATCTGTAAAGGGCTTTTTGTGTTGACCTAAAATCCAAGCAACTCTGAGGGAACATTCCTGAGCACGTTGTTGGCCGGTGAAAGAATGGGTTAAGATCCTGGTGGATCGATCGTATTGGGCTCTGAGACTGCTAATTTTCTGGGACCTGAGTTCAGACTTGGGAGGGTATGATTGTTCAAAGGCTTTGTGCTTTGTCTCATAGTGGCGTTTGACATTGCCACTTTTAATAAGTGCCACGGTTTCTGAACATATGAGACACACCGGTTTCGTGCTTGCTGCCGGAAGAATGAACATGTATGCGTCAGTCCATTCAGTCTTGAAAGTTCTATTTTCGGTGTCTACTTTTCTCGTTTTTGAAAGCGCCATAGTTGTTTTACCTCTTGTGACTCCCAATCACGTCTTGTCTCCCTGTATCGTTAATCGTCTCGCTTGTCATTCGCCTCTCACCGCCTCTTTCCTCTGTCTGTCTATGTCTGCATTCAGAGTTGCGATCGCCTTGAATGCACAGATTTGATTGGCTAAGTAGCGTCACGTGGGTGGCTTAACTCGCACACGATTGGTTTGTATGTTCCTTGGTCTATTAATACGGTTCTGTAAAGTTTAGAGTAAAGCTGTAACGTCACCGCTTAAAATTGAATCGCCCCGTCAAAATTAAACGTAATTTAATATTATAACTATAGGTCCGGGTCCGTATGGGATGGTGTCTGGGTCCGGACTCGGACCGCGGTCCGCCTGTTAGTGACCCCTGTCTTAAGGTATAAGTTGTTGAGCGACAGCATTATGAGTTTGGTTTGGTGTAATTGTTGGCAATTTTTGCTCCGGTTTAAATATGAACGGACGCTGGTAGTATAAAAAAGCAGGTGTGTTGTCAACGGCGAGGTGCATACAGAAATTTAAGATGAGTTGAAGGTGTCTCATGTGTCGGGTGGAAGGTATTTATTGTGTAATATGAATATAATGTGCATCAATATCTTCCTACCGGATGTTGTTTTAGAAGGTGTTTAACTATTAAAATGAAATAATTTATTGAATATGTAATGTGAATATTTGTATTTGTATGTGCATTTGCGTATTTGCATATTAATTTGTCCATTTGTTATGTTCATATGTATGTAATAGTTTGGGGTCTATTTCATTTCTTGTTTGCTTAAAGGTTTTCTACCTGACTATTTTACCTTGCTGAGATCCAAATAAAAGGAAAATAAGGATAAAAGAAATAGCGGGTTTGCCTAGTCTGTCGAGTGGAATCCAGTTATACCTCCAAGTGGATGTTGTTATTCCTTTCAAGTTGGGGAAATTGCACAAAAGAAAAAGGGACAACTTGACAAGCACTCAGGTGTGGACATAAAAGGATGGACATGGTCAGCAACAGCACTCGGGTAGGCTGTGGTCATAAAGGGATGGACATGGTCAGCAGCAGCACTCGGGTAGGCCGTCGTCATAAGCAAAAATGCTTATGCCAGATTCTGACCTTAAAATCTGAATATTGCAGCATAAATCCAGACTCATCTGACTAGGCAACGTTTTTTCCCCAACCTTCTACTGTCCAGTTTCGATGAGCCTGTGCCCACTGTAGCCTTAACTTCCTGTTCTTAGCTGTCAGGAGTGGCACCTGATCTGGTTTTCTGCTGTTGTAGCCCATCTGCTTCTAGGTTCCACATGTTATGCATTCAGAGATGCTCTTCTGCATACCTTGGTTGTAATGAGTGGTTATTTCAGTTTCTGTTGCCTTTCTTTCAGCTTAAACCAGTCTGGCCTGTCTTATCTCACCTCTGCCATCAATAGGGCATTTTCAACCAGAGAACCACGGCTCAGTGGATGTTTTTTGTCTTTCGGCCCATTCTCTGTAAAACCTAGAGATGGTCGTGTGTGAAAATCCCAGCAGTTTCTGAAATACTCATACCAGCAAGTCTGGCACCAACACTCCTGCCACATTCAAAGTCACCATTGGTTACTGAATATAACATAATTTTTTTTCTGTAGACAAATTGTGTCACAGCGTTGGAATTATTTTTGGAGGGAAACTGTGACATTCTGGGGATGATGTCCATGATTGGCAGCCATCGCCAGTGGCTTAGGGGTCACCCCTCCCCTGAATGCCATACCAGGTTGCGCTGGGCACAGGTAGGGGTCCGCCCAGGAAGGGGCTCATTCCATCCTCATTCTGAGACTCCACTGCACTGCCCACTGCTGTCTGAACATTAATGTGTGTCCAGTAGGAATGTTTAACATTGGTCTGTGCAAGGTGAGTATTGCTGAGGAAAGTATTTCTTCGGTTATATGAGTGTAAATAGAGCTTCAAACTGGACCCAAGTGCCATTAGAATGAGATAACATTGACCTAAACGTCGCCTAAACACTGGCCTAAATGCCAGTTTAAATGTCCGCCTAAACACTGGCCTAAATGCCGGCTTAAACGTCGGCCTAAACACTGGCCTAAATGTCGGCTTAAATGTCGGCCTAAACACTGGCCTAAATGTCGGCCTAAACACTGACCTAAATGTCGGCTTAAATGTCGGCCTAAACACTGGCCTAAATGTCGGCCTAAACACTGACCTAAATGTCG